TCTTACTGCTCATTGGGTATCATTAGGATATATCTCACTTGAGGTATATTCCTATCTACCCAAGGATAAAAGGACACACATCTTTAATTGAGCCAAAAAGCACACAAACATGCAATGTGGGGAAGATGCTAAGGTTGTCAGACAGATGAAATGGCATAGAAATCACAGCACTCCTTTCTGGCCTAGTCTTGAGGTATTCCTCTTTGGGCTTTTTCTCTTAACATAATGAATAATGCATGAATTGACTTATTTTTACTGAGTGAAAAATGAAGATAGTGAGAAAGAGACATTATGAAGTGAGAGAAATGTTACGTTCCACATAGTTACTAAACAGCTTCATTTCTCAAAATGGGGTCTACAAACCATCAAAACTGTTAAGAATGTTTGCTCACACTACAGATATCTTGGCCCCACTCCAAATCTTGTGAATCAGACTCTGAGGTAAAGGTGAAAGAATCTGCATTTTTGCAAGTGCTACAAATGAGTTTCACACAAACTGGGTTTTGGGAAACACTGCTAAAGAGCTTGCAATGGAGGTCATTAGGGAAAGAATCTCTTTTCCAGTATAAGGCAAGATGAGAAAACAGACATTTCAAACAAATGAGCTCTGTGGTTGTATCACAAGGCTGTGATTATTAAGGCTTAAGAGTCTTTTCTTTCAGCAGGGGTGGAGAGCAATAACCATTTCATCTAAAACTAGAATGATGAAGGCAATATAAATCAAACCCATTCCAGCAGGTTTCATTTGGTCTAATTTCTCTGCAGATATTAATCATTGTACAGTCCTGTATAAATGACATCCTACTCCATTTTAATTCAGAATATAGAATGCTCACTCTGATTCTTTCTCTCGTGTGTTATTTTGACAATATAAAAGAAAAATAAATAAATTGGAACAGTGGGCCATCAAGATTGCAAGATGGCAACAATGCCAAGACATTAAAGAGAGAAATGACCCATCTAAACCAATAACCCAGCATGCAAATTGGCAAAAACACTTATCTACCACAGATACACTGAGAGAGAGAAAAAAAATAATTCCCTTCATTTTTCCTTTGAAAATTGTTATGTCAAGAGGAGGTGACAAAGAATTCTTCCTATGAGTTCACAGAAAGAATGTTGTTCTAGTAAAGATCATCTGAAAGACCAGTGTTAGTAAAATTCCATGGCATGGTATCTAGTGGCAAAACATGATAGCACCCAAATACTCTGGATTAATTCTTTATCATAGCTATAAAGTCAGAAGACTGGAAGCAAAGAAAAGGGAAATATATGAGAATCAAAGTTTGGTCCCCATTACAAAACTAGTGTAAAGTACTTTTGAAAAACACTTATATTGTCTTTACTTTTTCTAACTAGAGTATGTTTTGCCTGCATAGACAAAGGGTACTCAGAGAGGAACTGAAAGCTCAAGGAAACAAAACAAGCCTAAAGGCAAAAAGCAATGGAAATTAGCAAGACACAGAATGAGGAACACATACCTATGTCTTTGCATAAAGGTACCTCTGAATCAAACAAGTTCAATTGAGAAGTCCATGTCAGTTCCTACTGAACAGATGTTTGCCCTTCCCTGTCCCCACCCCCACCCCCCACACCAAATCAGTCAGTTGTGGTAGACATAGCTACTGAGAAATAATGAGCAAAGGGAACACTTAGGATTTGTGCATTGTTCCCTTTTTTATTTTAATTCACCATGCAAGAATTTCCAGTAAGATAATTGTGCCTAGAATTACAAAGGTTAACATCACTGCATATTTTGGAAGCCACTTTGTTGTTTCTATGGCTACATCTTAGTGCAATTTTCTTTTCCTTAGCAGGAGGAGAAAGAACATACCATGATGAAGATGATCTAGCAGCTGTTATTTTCTTATCTTTCCCTTTTCCTGCTACATGCTGATCATTCCCTTTTTGACTCATATTTCTAGCGAATGCCACACCCTCCCCAAACTTCAAAGGATTTTTTAGCTTTGAAAATTTACCAGGGGGTTCTACTCTTATGATTGCCAATAGTTTGACCATTCTGATGCTATTTGTTTCTTCTTACCAGCAATTTATATTCCTTGTCATAACCAATGTTCATGAAGGTGACCATATATATTGTTATATCTAGAATTAAACTGAGAGTTCTAAAAACTCTTTTAACTTCAGGGAAACAGACTTGATTCACAGTGACTCCCAGGACTACTGGCTCCTTTAATCACTTACCCAGAACTCATTTCATTATTGCAGGCCTTGTAGATTTGCTGTGTAAATTTAGAACTCCACTAGTTCTATTTACAACTCAAGAGTTTTTACTCACCAAGTCAATATTCTATTCATCTGTAAGTCAACCCCCATACAAATGAACACCTCAATAGCTTAGCTATTTTGAGTTTTCAACATGGGGTCAGTGCCAATTTAGAGGTGGCTCAGATGATTTTTTTTTTTTTTTAATAGATTTCCAATCACACGTTTTGTTCACTGAGGATATAGAAGTGCATGATCAGAAACTACCTATGGGACCGAGGGACAGAGAGTTGTGCCATGAATATTTCCTTTGCAGTGTTTAATTGTCTGTTAAAAGTATATAGGAGAAATGTTGATTGCTACTCCGATTCTTACTACTGTGCTTCTATCTCTATACCATTATGTTGTTGTTGTAAGTGCCGTCGAGTCGGTTCCGACCCATAGCGACCCTGTACAGGGTTTCCGAGGGTGTAAATCCTTACGGGAGTAGAAAGCCTCATCTTTCTCCAGCGGAGCGGCTGGTAGTTTCGAACCGCTGACCTTTTAGTCAGTTCTAAAATTTAAAGGAGTTGGAACTTTAACTTTGGCCATTTATTTAGTAATTTGACAGAATTTCCAGTAGAACCACAAGCATCAAGTGAATGTAGTGGTACATTCCCCAAATTCAACTCTTTCTTGATCCATTAAGCTTCATGACTCTTTGCAGCAGCTTCATTATTAGGATGATGGTATTTTGATGTGGTATCAAGAAACACTGAAAATAATGCAGAAATATTGGTTGCCTTTATAAACCTACATTGTAGTTAAGATCAAATGCCTACTAATATATTAATAATATATAAAAGAATTTAAATTCATACATAACAGTTATCTGACACCTCAGTTTAAAAAAAAATCAGTGCTTTTTTTTTCACTTAAGTAAAACTTTTAACTTCATTAGAACCACCAGGACAAGAAAACATTGGCTGAGACTGTCTCCCAGTTGTAAATGCACGAATTACAAAAATTCAGAAATGTCTATATACTCATGGGTACTAATAACAGGAATCAAGACAGAATCTCTTACAGAATAAATGTGCATCATTGGGAGATTTCAAAAAGTAACAATTGATCATTATTTTTCCCTCCTATACACATTATCCAGTTGCCTTTATTACCTGTGGTACACATATGCACATTCACACACACACACAACAAAAGTAAGCAAAACAACAACAACAACAACAAAAGTAAACAAGAGTGCTTGGCACACAATTAATGACTGACAAATAAATTCCTTTGTTCAGGTCCCACTGAAATTCATGAAGAATGCTGAAAATAAAAAGTGACCTTTTAACCTTCATCTAGCACAATTCTATGAAAGAACTACTGGTGTATTCAGAGAACACAAAGTCACAAGAAAAATAATGGCTATTAACAGTTTCTTTTTGGCTGCATCTTTACCAGTCAGGGGTATAATCAAGAATGATAGTTTAGAAACATAAAGCCTCAACTTTGGAGCTGCAGTTATCCAGTTGGGTTGTTAATATACGTTATAGAAATGACCCAGTTCTAAATCCTAGTATTGACACAGCCAAATCCCAGAATTCCAAAGGCAAACAAAACTTTAAGCTGACTCTAAGCAACTAACAATGTAGGATTGTAGTTAAAAAAAAAAAAAAAAAAATTATAAGAAATGATTAGAAGGTGTGTGGAATATAATTCCCCCTAAAATAAACAAATGTGCACAAGGCTGGCTGCTTATTCAAGTACTGTGTATTTTTCTCAGTTCCGCAACTACACAGGAACACAGTGGACTTTGTGTGGCCTATATAGAAAGGCCACCCGTGAAAATGTGGTCAGAAAGAACTCTGAAATCATAGAGGAAATGGCGATCACTCAGCTCAGGGTAGAGAAGGCTGAGTGTAGGGTAATTTCGTAGTAATTTTTGTGGACATGAACGTCTGTTTGTTTCAAATATAAAGAACATTTGGCTAGCTTTTCTCACCCTATCTTAGTACAGCTGAGCAGTGGAACCTGACAGTGTTAACTCTGAAATAAGGAAGTCAATTTGCTGATGATGAGGGTTATTCGGTGTTTGAAGGTGTTGCCAAGAGAGGTTTGGAAGTCTTTCCGGAAAGGATTTAAGGATGGGGCAGAGACTCATCCATTTGAGGTGCTCTAAGAGGGGCTTCCGGCAGCAGGGCACACCTCTCAGGCATGTGCTCTGTGTGTATGTACATATTTAGTTGTGCATGTGTTGCACAAATACTCATGCATACGGAGTCAGTATAAACTGGCACAAAATAAATTTGAGTGAAAAGTCATAGAAACCAATCATTATCCCCTTACCCCATAAACAAATAAAAGAGCAAAATTAAAAATCCAAACATATACCCTTGGGACAGACATCTTTCTACCATATCTCCATTCAAAGGAAGGAGGTAGAAGATAAGAGAAAAACCCAGTTTGGAATAAATGACTCCCAAGGCCGTTCAGCTACACTTATGTAGCTGGGTCTCCTAATATATAAGATACTCAGCACATGGGACCAAGTTAACAAACAGCAACAAAAAAAAAAAGATTCTCTTGTACTTCCACATCTGGAAAGAAATCTACCCTGTGGATTTACATGTTAAGTGAACTAGGTAAAATAGGCAGTAGACTATCAGTGGACTATTGTGTTCTAACAAATGTGTATTATTAGGAATTCTTTTTTCTTTTTTTCCCTTTAAAATATGATTTTTTTCAGAAGGCTTATTTCAAAATGTTGACAAGGTTTGTTTGTTCTCCCACCCACCCCCACCCCTCCCCTATAGATGATACTTCCGTAAAAGTTCAGATTGCCACGGATGTTTTCTCTCCGGGAACCGATCTGGAATTTTGATCTTTAAGAAATCCTGGATGCACCTCTCCAGCTCTTCCTCTACTGAGAGCTTTTCCTTAACAGCTTTTTTTTTGCTGCTCATGTTTGACTCCCTAGAGCCGGAGGTGAGAGTCCGGAGCAGATCGCTTTTCCTTCGCATCTCTGACTGCTGGATCAGCTGTACTGGGCCCTTCTTGATGGGACGGTCCAGAGTCTGGATGTTGGTCTGGCGTGTGACTGGCCCACAGATGACCGTCTCCTGGGGAGAGCTGGCCTCAGACTGACTGTCACAGCTGGAGGTGGAAAGGTCATTGCATGACGTGCCACTCTCCCCTTCTTTGTCACCCTTGCCATTCTTGCAGCAGCAATCACAGTGTGAGGATGACCACCGGGAGGGCTCACCTGCAAGGGAAGCACAGAACCCAAGAGATTAATACTAGCCAGCTCAGTTCAGAGGAGCAGCATTACATCTGAACACCACACACATGACTACCACTGAACTACGTCTTGACAAGAAGTAGGGTCACACTCATGGTGGGTTGCAACTGCAGTCAGCAGCCAAGGCCATTGATAGGCAAGGAAAAAACATGGTATCCTGCTTTATAGAAAATACAATATACAGCTTAAGTTCATGTCCATTAGAGACAGATGACCCTGCACTGCAACACTCAGCTATTTATTTTTTATTATTATAAATTGAGTGAAGGTTTGTCTTGTTGTTGTTGTTAAGTGCTGTCGAGTCGATTCCGACCCATAGCGACCCTGTACAGGGTTTTCAAGGCTGTAAATCTTTATGGGAGCAGAAAGCCTCATCTTTCTTC